CATGCATAGGAAATCTTTAACAGTCAGCTTTATTTGATATGTTTTTCTATAAACCAAAAACAAAATTATCTTTAAAATACCAGATAATCCCCTAGATTGAACTAGAGACAGGGAGGATCTACTAATTCACCATAACATTTGTTTTTAACAGCATATCTGGAATCATCCTGATGACAGAAATATACTATTTGTTTCCCCTCTCCACACTACCTTTCTACAGCTAGGTACATAGGGTGGTTTTCTCCTTTCATATTTCCTGCTTCACCATGGCTGGGACCAATGGCTGGGAAATCCTCCCCTAATATCTCTAACCATTGCTGTTGTGTTCGTACATTGGACCTGTTCCCAAAACACCATTTAATACATGTTTCAAGCTCCAAAGTGCTCACGGAAGTAGAAATCTTGGTTTAATTTACTCATAGACGTATCAGTCTAATTAGATACAACGATGTAGAAGTCTGCAGGACATGTATTGGTAGTATAGTTTGCAACCATAAGGTTATCCAATAGAAAGCAGAGGAAGTAAATGTGTAATAATTTGTAGAACTGTAGAAAAGGTTCCATGCAAACAAAATCTTTAACCAGCTTATTCAAGATGAACATTTGCAAAATGTGCTGGTTTATATAAAAACAAAATATGCATCAAATACCTTTGATGTAACTGATCTTCAGGTAACCTATACTTTTGGTTAGGAGGGGTTCAGGTAATTGAATTGTAACTGTATTGGTACATGTACATAAAAATAATTTATCGAATATCGATATGTGCATGTGATCGACACATGGTTCATGTTGTAACCTGGCAGTTCTTCTAAACCACTCATATCCCTGACCGATCAATTCTCCATTTTCCAGTTGCAAGGTGAATGGTAATAAGAGGTGAGGTACTTAGTACTATTCCTCTACCACCAGAATGGCAATTTCATTGGGTCTCAGAAGGCATGACATACGTTAGCATATGTCCTTTAGATAATTAGAAGGAAGACCGTATTAACCTAACAGGCATTACAACCCTTCAATTTTATTGTGTGCACTAATCATCTGGTAGCTGACTCCGAGACTCATTGTCCTTCCATGAAAGTAAAGAAGTTTGCATTGGAAAAATAAAACTTCCTTGAGTTAAACTGATGGTGCAAGCCTGCATTGTGGAGTGAGTTTGTTGCATTTACAATCTCAGTAGGTGGCTTGGCAAGACCTCTCCACACTTTTCACTATAGCATCAGTTTCCCCCATATTTGGATGCTGACATCTGGAGACCTTAGAAAATGCACCCTCCATGATCCAAATGATCCCAGTGAAGTTGCTGATCAATCCAGTACTAATGTTCAACATGAAAATATGGTCATTTGCTTACAGGTCATGTAGATTCTTGTTGAGATTTTCTCTGTGGTACCATGTGCAGGATAATATGAAATTTGAAACTGGCAGAAGCCCTTCAGATGTAAAGCATGAGCAGATGTCAATCTTCAGATTAATGTATCTTCCAGATGCACAATCTTTCATTCAGAATTCAAAACTAACCCAAACTTTGAAACAGCACCAAGTGAATCATTTCCTTAGCCAATTCCTAAGTTTTAAACCATCCCAGATGACACAACTGTTACATTTCACAGATTGGTCTCATAGAATATCAGTCATATACTCTTTGCTGCTACTTTCTATTCTTAAACTCTCTAAATAGGAGTAGAAATTATGTAGCATCTACCTCAGTGAGAATGGTTAGAAGCAAAAATTAAAACTGATTTACTTGTAGAGGTTTAGCTAGTTTGGTGGCACAAACTGCTTCTGGTGGAATTGATGGGAATCAACACTGAGATTTGAAGTGTTGAGCTGTTTTTACTAGACTCTGCAACACATAAGGCTGTTCCAAACTCAGACCCTGATATTGAGTGTAGATACTTGCCAATAGTCATTTTAGCCAGGATACTATCAGGTTTTGAAAATATATTTGTAACTGTGGTCCTGGCTGCTGTCCCAGGGCTGCGTGGTAGTGGAAGAGACTTTTTCTAAAAACTGAGCATCTCTCCCACCTACTTAGCAGACCCGTCACCAAAGCCCCTGCTGTCTGCCTGTGTCTCATGCATGGAGTCAGCTCTCTGCTCTACTGTCTTAAAGCTGTTTCTGTAGAACTTTGCTTAGATTAATAAGGGATAGAGGTATTTGGCAGGCACTGAGGGACTGTGGCCACTAAACAGCTGAGAGAGTAAACCTGCACATGAGCAAAGAGAGAAATCAGTTACAGGGTGGTAGGTAATGAGGGAGAAGCCATTGTGGGACATGAAGGTAGCCATGAAAGTTTGGGGAAATAAGGGTCTGGAGAGCCATGAGGAGGAGGAGGAACCATGGTAGGAAGGATCAGTTCTTTTCCCAATGATAATTTTTCATGGAAGATTTCAGAGGCCAAAGGAGAATTAATGTATATTCTGATGACATTTTATTTTCTTTGTTCTCCCTCTCCTCCCCATGACATTTCTAAAACTAAAATTATCGAACAAACAGTAGAATGTGCACACAAATCTGGCAGCTAAGGACCTGACAGCCCACTAATTTTTGGTTTATTTGGAGAACTTTTCCTGACAAAACTTTTCAGATGTTAACAACTATGCATGAGCAGGTGCCAAACATCTGAGAAACCTGCAACAGCTTCTGCATCTTATTGTAATAATGTAAAATGTTAATGAGCTTGTTGCAATTAAGATTCCTGCATAGTGTGATGTTGTAATTGTGATGTTTCTGCATGTTAAAGCCTGTCAATTTTCAAACAGGTTATGGGGGAAATAGTAAACTTTCAATTTAAAAAGATTCATCATGGTGGTTTGCTGAAAGAGAGATCTTACTAATTTTAAGCTAGTGACATACTATTGCTATTTTGTCCTATGTAAATGCAAGTTTTAGGAGGAAGAAATGCCACTTGTCTCTCTTCTTTTGAATGTCATGTCTACACACTTAAATTCATTATTGGTATTTAATAAATAATGTGTTCAAAATTGCATCAGAAAGAGATTTTTTTTAGAGGTACAAGTTCATTATATCTTTTACAAAACGTTCTCGTTTGATTTCCATTTTATCATGTTTTTAAGGTCAAATGTGACTTTAATGTTCCATAAAGAGACAGAGATTGATAATCTGGAAAGAGTAACCCTCTAATGTGATTTATATATATGGATTTTATGTCAGATATGAAAAGTTGCTGTTCAAATTGTAAAGGAGGATCCATTAAAGAGCACTTTAAAACACTTTACTACTTAGCTTACCTTGGACACTTGTTTTTAGAATTCTGCCCTTTCAAGCAACTTAAATATAACAGCTTATCAAACATTTACTAAGTGCCGGTGAAGAGAATTCAAAATTGTCATGGGTGCAGGATAGGTTAATATACTGGAAAAGACAGCAGTGTTTAAAAGGAGCTATAAAAATCTTGTTTAGAGGCGGTCATAACTTAGCCAACTTATTATTATTATTTTTTTTGGTGGGGAGGCGTTGGCAGGATGCTGGGTTTAGGCGTACAAAAGAGGATTCTTGATAATGTTTAATTGAACTGGAAATTCTACTGCTTATGGTTCACACTCTCTGGATTTCTGTTCATCAGGTGAGCATTGTAAGAGTGATAGGAGAGTTAGGGAACAGGTGAAAGGCAAAATCTAGATGGAGAATTTACAAGTGAATTTGTAATCAGCGTATTTTTACTGTTTTTACCATTTAAGGGTGTCTGTAAAATTAAATGCTTGTTAACCACTGGTTTAGATTTTCATAGACATCTACATTATATATATTGGATGTATTTTAGTCATTTTCTGCATAATTGTTGCAATTAAAGAGAGTGACTGATTAAAAAGCACTTTACTTCATGTGTATCATAAGGCATAACTAACATTGTTTTATGTGTATAGGTTTTGTTTATTTTTAATATCTTGGTACCTAAACTTGGAAGAATTGTTCTAAAGTCTGCTCTGGTTGCTCTCCCTTCCTTCCCCTTCCCCTCCGCCCCCCAAAAGAAAATTTTTCTTGTTTGTTTGGATAAACATTTGTGTCCTTTCTACTAACTAGATAATAGAATAATCCAATCATTGACAAAGGCTCAAGTGCTTTGTCTACCTAGCATATGAAATCAGTAGAACTGCCAGGTTGAAATCTGAGGAACAGGAAGTCTTAAAGTTGTGGGTGCAGGACTTTCATGACACCACATTAACAGGAAAATAAAGAAAAAAGAAAAAAAACACCCAGGAAAGCAAAGGTTTTAGTTTTTGTTTTTAGTTTTTCACCATTCAGTTTTTATGTAGTTAGTCTTTGTTAATGGTGTTACGTTTTGACAGCCTTGAAAAACAGAATATTTTTACCAACAGTTATCGTACATAAAGTTAGTGTTAGCTTTCCACACTGGCCTGCTAATGTATCACAACCTTCTGGCTAGAGGAATCACCCCTACCGGTGAAAAGCTAGTTCAGTCTTCATATCCATTCAGTGTTTTTCCTCTTTGAAACTTCCAGCAAGAAAACTATATGTAATGTACTATCGAAATAGCATATATAAGGTTTTGATTTTATTTAGGGGAAGGATCTTCAAAGGTACATATAGCAGTTAGGTGCCCAACCTCCATTCACTTAGAATGCAAGTTGCGTGTCTAACTGCTATCTGTGTCTTTTGAAGATCTCCCCTTTGAGACTGGCACTATAAAAAGCTACACTCTTGCAGTGTGATAGAATTGGTTATTCTGAAATCATCTACTGTGTTGTCAGGTTAGTAATGTTTTAAAAATATGTTTTAAAAAGAACATGGTGTAGTGGCTAAAATACATAACTAATCTGAGTTCTGTATTTAGCTCTGCTATAAATGTACTGTAACCATAGGTAACTATTCTGTCCCTCAAGTTTGCACATCTGTAAAATGGGGATAATTCTTATTTCTGAAGGCTTAGTAAAACTAATTGTAAAGTACTTCAAGATTCTTGGCTGGAAGGTGTTGAAGTGCAAAGTGTTAAACTATTTATTTATTTTTCTTAGTCGCTGTGTGCCCAGTATTCTGCAGATAAACGAGAGGATGAAAAGATGTGTGATCATTTGATAAGAGCAGCCAAGTTCCGAGATCATGTGACTGCATCCCAACTAATACAGAAAATTATCAACATTCTGACAGACAAGCATGGAGCCTGGGGAAATTCTGCATCAAGGTAAAGATAGATCTTTAAGATTTGGCTTTTGTTCAGATATGATGGGATGATTTGGATTATGTCTTCAGATGAAGTCAAACCTAATGGAAAATTGGCATATTACAATTTTGTTTATGGTAAAACACTAGATATATATTTAAAGAAAATTTTTGGAAGATACAGAGGATTTTACTTCAGCAATGCATTATCTACAATTGGGGATTAATCCATTTTTCTTTTTTCAGCAGTCTTGTTTACTCACAAAGCAATATTTGTAGTTTAGTGACTTCTCTAAATACCATTACTGAGGCATATCTGAAATGGTAAAAATACATTTGCTTTCCTGAATGTAGAGAATCAGTGCAACATATATGTGAAAGCAATAACAAAATAGAAAAAAATTCTTCCCCAGTTGGATTTAAACTTTATTACTATGTAGAGCTCCAGATTTTTTTCAAATTCCAGTATAACTGCATCATTTATTAAAAAAAAAACAGAAAATACATGAATACATATGCCCTAAAATATTTTCTGTTATTGAAGCGTGGAATGGAATATTTAACACCTGACCAATGGAAATTTATGAAGAGAGGTAATGTTGCACCCCTCGTCTCCAAGAAAGAGGAAAATGGTTTTTTACTATATTGCGTTGTCTACTCATAAATTAGAGCAAAACACAACCAAATGAAAATTACATTGCTTTCATTTGGGAAATTCTACACAGATGGAATAGTTATCGCATTGACACCTGTTTCATTGTTTCTGCGCAAGTCAAGCTGATAGTTTCAGCTGAATATTTAAAATGAAAGTTCAAATCCTAGAATGTCTGATTAGGGATTTAAAAATAAACAGAATGTGTCTTGGCTAGAACAAACCACGCTGGGTCCATTTGCCTCTTGAAATGCTGTCATTTGTATGCAATGCAATGAAAGGTGGAGGTAGGAAATGAGTGAAAAATTGAATATATTTTTTTGCCAATAATCTCAATTAGCTCTCTTGTATTAAAAACAATTTTTTCACGTTCAACAATTTCTCATTTCATAATAAGTTTTGAAGGATATTAGATATTAAGTACTATTAATATTGAGGTTTTTGTTATAGCGTATTAGAATTACAGGTTAGCCACAAACCCAAAATGTGGTGCTCAAACTGTGTTAAACATGGAAAGCCTTTATGAAAATGCTCTGCAAGAAAATAAAAAATAATTACACACTTAAATATTTCCTGCAAAGGTAGGTTAGTTAATCGCTTTCTATGAACATATTATTTTAAGATTGTAACAGAGTCTCTTCAAACAACTTTGTAAAGCACTTCATACATCAGTGGCTCTTCAGTTTTCAGAGTATGACCGTAGTGTTTTGTTCAGTTGTTTGTGTTCCTTAGTTTAAAACACTTTCTGTCCTTAATGGCTTTTAAATAAGGAATATGACGAACTCTTTGCCATTTAGATGTGTTTTGCTCATCATGATAATACTGGTATAGCGAGATAGGTGGAGCTGTAATTGATAAAATGTACTGCACTCAGAGAGTGGGTTAACTATTCTCTGATTTTCTTCATGTGAGGCTTGCATAATCAGCTTGTAAATTATGTAGTGTAGAAAATATGGACATGATTATTTCTATTTTATAATAAATAATGATCTACAGTGAAATGGAAATATCACATAATGCACTTTGCAATACACTTAACATAATTCTAAGAAACTTAAATGGCATTAGAGAGGGGAAAAAAATCTTTATCAGGAAGGCAGAATGCATTTACCCACCATAAACCTGTTTAAAAAAAAAAAAAGACACACAATGGTTGTCATCCTAATCAAAAGCTATATTAAAGGGGTTAAATTAATGTTTTACAGCATTATTTTACTTTCCCTTAAAGAATTGTACTAGTTTTTTGTCATGTAAAATCAATCTTAGTAGTACTTTTTAATATTTGGTTTGTGGTATTTTGTTTTTCATCCTCCTTTGGAATCCATATAATTGCTTGTAGCCATGGCTCTGAAGGCCTAATACTTTCCCATTAATGTCATTTATTTTGTTTCAATATTGATGGCTTTTCTAATGCCATACGATCAGTGGGCTGCAGTGCTGGCAGCTGGCCTGGGATCGGCAGTGGTTTTAATAAATCACAATCAGACTCATGCCATTACATCAATATTTTTAGTCAATTATAGAGAAGGTCAGGTGCTACATTCGGTATAGGAGCCCCAGCATGTGGCATTTGAGAAACATCTGGTACTGCAACAAAACTGCAAGCCGGGGAAAAAAGAATCCAATTTATCCCATCTAAAGAGACCAAATGAAATCTGCTGCTTTATGGATAACACAATGATGATTATAGCCATTTTAAACATGTTATACTTGCTAGACTTAATACCCTTTATACAGACATATTCCCTAAAGTTTCCATTCAATAAAAACTGAAAATGAAAATATTATTTCCTCAGAAGCAGATGTGAATTGTTGTTTCCTCACAGCAGGCATCTAATATCTTTTGACACATAGTGACCTGCCTGAATGCAATTTGTGTCTTAATATCCAGATTGTACCAGCTTTTGCCACATGAGAGAGAGTAAGCAAGCTCTTTTTCCTCCACTGGATTTGAAGTTCTGGCTATTGCCTTGGCATGCAAAGAAAGTATTCCTCTCACAGAGCTCTGATATCTGTGTGCCCTTTACTGTCATTGTATTTTTTCAAATGCTTAGAGATTTCAGGAAATAATGGGACAGACAAGTACCTGTTCATCCATACATTACTGTCACCTGGAGTGAGGCTCAGGTGAAAACTGAGAGAGCCTGATAAGAATGGTGGAATAAGCAAGAAAGAGGACACAAATGAACAGACTGGCAGAAGTAATTTTTTTCTGGTGCATAGAGCAGGCATTGTGTTTATTTGGGTCAGGAGACAAATCATCTTTCATGTAGATGACACCTAGTAAAGTGGCTGAATATAAGAAGGATGAGGAGAGATGATGGAGAACACTGGATGAAAGTCTCAGAGGACATACTACCCTTTTCTCATATCGTCCTTCATTGCATTCTAATAGGCTGACTAATGTACCATGGAAATTCATTCTTGGTATTAGAGGGGAAAAGGGTGGTACTCTTCTCAGAAAAATGCAAAGGTAGAACTGCAGACATAAATTATTTTAGAAGCAATAAGGTTTAGGAATTTTTAAGAGAACCTCTGTATATCAAGATCTCTGAATGCTTTTGATTAGTTTAGGAGACCGAGTTTAGGCTCAGGTTTCGGTTGCTTAAGAAACTCTGTTTCAGATTGGTTGAATGTGTTCTAATGGATGCCCTCAAGCAAGAGGCGTCTCTGCCTTAGAGACATTCATCTTTTTTCTGTGTCACAGGCTTGCTGGTAAAAATCTTTGTGATGCTCTCTCCAATTTTTCTTCAGTAAATCAAATCTTCCTTCTTTCAAAAAGATGAATGCTGTAAGGTTGGGGTGTTATAAAAAAAAAATCAATGCAGGCAAAATTGAAACAGTATGCCTCTGTATTGATTGGCCTTGTGAAATCGAAACTAACAGCTTTGTAACTGTTCCAGTGGACAGTTAGCTGACCTGTAATGGATAAACTATCAATATTAGCATTACTATTTTATCTTGTAGTATGTCATTTTAGAATCCAGAGTCGAAGGAAAGAGAAGGGTTGAACTGAATTTTTAATGTTACTTGTAAGAAGTAACCACATTCTTTCTCTGTATAGTTGTTGGTAGATAAGTGACATATGTACTTGTTCTGTTTTAAAACACAGTATTACTTTAAAGAGAAATGATTATTTTTAACCTGTTCCCTTTGGCATTTGCTATAAAATGCATTTCAAAATATTTGTTTTTTAAATAAAAAAAAGAACAAGAAAAAACTCCAAACAAAATAGCACCAAGAGCTTTGCTTATCAGGGCAAATGTAGTTTTATTAGTCTAAAAATTGAGAATATGATGCACCTTTTCCTCCATCTGTAGTAAATTTTATGACTGAGTTTATTAATAAAAATTACAAAGTTTCAAGATGTTCATCATAGATTTATACAGTGTACTCTTCCTAAATAGGTATCAATGCACCGAATTTTAAAAATGTCCCCATAAAACACGTAGTGATGAAGATGTATAAATTTCCCCCTTTCTTACTGGTTCACATGCTTTTCATTCTGACTCCTACCTGACCCTGAGGATCTTGCACTTGACATCAGTGTAAGGCAACATTCATTGCTTTCTCTGGAGCTTTGATGATGCTAGGAAATTCTTTATAGCCTACAATGACAATAACATAGTGAAATGGCTTAATAAACCTAACATTTTTCCTATTTGTCTCCTGCCCTGTGTCCCCCTCCAAAAAATGCAAATCATTAGCAAATGAAGTGAAGGCGGGGTGGGGGACGACTAATGTAAATGTCAGATGAAAAAAATAAGATTTTTTGAAGTGCTTTTATGAAATAAGTAGGTGTATAGAAGTTAGTGTTTAAATGTTGTATTTTTATACGTGTACGTCAATACATATGCAGTAACTCCCTGTGAGTTGTGGGAGTGCTATATTTGTAGAGAGGCCTGAGGCCAAGTACCTTCAGCCATTATAAGTGAAAGTTCCTCTACAATCACACTCTATCATGTTAAAATGCCTTTATAAAATATTTTTTATATAATTTTATAATAATTAGTTCTTTTCCCTTCCTGTTCTGAAACTGTATAGTGAGCTAAACTGTCAGTGAACCAATTCATCTTATCTGAAAAGTAGATGGAGGTGAGGCAGGGAAGAGAATAGTCACTATAAGAGATTCTTTATTCCATTACTCAGAACAGTGTTACTTGTCTAAATCTCGAAGTAGAGGGAAAGGAATAATTTCTTAGCTTCTAAGTTTCCACCTCAGTACAAAATACTGTAAGGGGAAAAAAAAATCAGTTGCAATTCACAAATACAAAATGGAGAATAACTGGCTAGGCAATGGTACTGCTGAAAAGGATCTGGGGATTATAGTGGATCACAAATTGAATATGAGTTAATAGAGTGAGGCTATT